ATTCAGTGCTACATTATTGGTCTCTTATATAAAAATTACAGATTAATATCTTTCATTAAGGGTAAGAAAATAACATCAACTTTAGTAAAGACGAAATGTAACTTGATCAGAAGCAAACTTTCATTTAAAAAGACATGATTGTGAAATTTCATTAGCTCTCTGAAAGTAAAACTGAAATATAGTCTAATTACTGGTTAAACTATTGAGCAGGCTGGTTAGTTAATTTTCCCCACCTTAATGTTATGCTTTCATTCCTACTTGTTTTACTGTACTTGCTAGCAAACCTGAATCGTTACTGTGACAACTGACATTTCAGATTTTTTTCACAAGCTTCTGGTAATGTAACATATCTCCACACATCTTTCACTTCTGAAATATTTCTACAGGAGCATGTTGAAAGGAAGCTGATCACTGTTGCCTACACCAGTACTCCCTGGGGCCTTCTGGCACCAGCAGCTGGGTGGAACAGTCCTGGTGGGAGCCGTGGGGCAGCATGGATCCCCAGCATGGCCATACCATGTGGGTATGGGGGTGGGTGCCCTGGGAGCAGGTTTCTCAACTGCTGCCAGCAGTGTTTGAGAAGTACGAGGTGGAGATGGAAGGATGGCACCATTAAGGCACCTCATAGCTGTAGAGGGCTCTGCAGCGCACCAAACAAGATGCTTTTTGAAAACAAGAGCAGTCAAGTCTTGTTAAGGCTGTTCTTCTAAAAAGACATTAATTTTCATTAGTGCCATTGTTCTGCGTTTTTGCAAGTAATAGGAATTAATTGAAAAAGCAACTGGAACATTTTACCTAATTCCTAAAAAATCACGTGTCAAAGCGTGATAGGTTGATGAAAGCATTAGGCAGTCATTATATTGCATTATTTGTATTTTGTACTGATGCTCACAGCATACGTGTGGGGGGTGAGGTTGTGCCAGCCATTGTGCGACTGTGAAGTAGCAGAGGGATTGTAAAGAAGGTTAGAGTTGGCTTCTCAAGTGGATTCAGAGAGATTCAAAGGATGCATAGGAAGTGATGGAGAAGAGTTCTCAATAGCGGCTCTGCAGAAGAGATTGGCATCTCTTTGTAAACTGCAGTTTCAGTTTCACTGTAGAGTAAAGCACTTCCATTTAACTTGAGTGTAAACTAGTGTCCTTTTTAAGAATTGCCTCAAAGATTTGTATTGGGGACAGTAGGAAAGGGGAGACGATTGGCGCTGAAGATTCCCTTCCCCTTCCCCTTCCCCTTTCCACCTCTCTCTTCCCCCCCTTCCCCTTCCCCTTCCCCAGTTTTCAGCTGGGGAGCAGCGAGGCTGAGGGGAGGGAATGCTCCTGTGCAACAGGAGACTGTAAGCCTCTGAGGAGGTGTCATGTAACCTTTCAGCCTAGGGATCCTCTTCAACACTTAGAAGCTTCATCTCTCTTTGGCGTGCTTGGGTTATGAACAGCTTCCAGGGCTTACTTGGAAACAACAAGATAACAGACTTTTGTGATCTAGGACTGATTTTTTCCTTTGCTGCCCTAGTGGCTTTGGTAATGTATGGTTTGGGAGTGGGGGGCAGGTTGGTGTGGGTTTTTTCTTTTAATCTAAAGGATATACTTGATTGTAACAATGCCTTTTTGGCTTTTTTCCTCTTTCACAGCTCTAAAGCTGCATAATAAATGTAGTGATTTCAGAATTTTTCAGCTTTCTTGATAAGAACTGCATTAGCAAATCATCTTTTATAAGAGTGACGTAACTGTTCTGTTTGCTGTTGCACACCCGTTGCTTCCTGTGCTGGGATCACTAAATAGAATTGTGGAGGAATCATCAAGACTTTCTAGTGGTTGCAACACACTGCAAAGAATATGTGGTCTGTGGCAGACAAATTACCAGCAGGTACTTTTGTTGAATACAGCATCCTGTGTCAATGAGTTCTGCAATTTTTTAAACATTGTGTGAGATGCCTCTTGGTTTTAAGCATGCTTGAGTGATATTTTCCTTCGTTGCCTCCTTGTTCATGTTTATCTGGGAAAAGGGGAAATAGTCTCTGTTCAGGCTTTGCATAGTTTTTAGACATCTATAATTGGAAGGTGTCACTTATCTTCTATCATTTGTTTCCCTTCCAAGTTTATTCTTTTTTTAAAATTATACCTTTTACCATACTTACGTTCCCTCTGCTACCTTTTCTTGTTATATTATATCTTTGGGTAGGACAGCCACAACTGTGTTATTCATATATTAGAAAATGGTATTTCTGGAGTTTTGGGCAGGAGAAAAAGTCAGAGTAGGTGTTCTACAAATTCAAGAGAGGTCAAAGCGAGCAAATTTCCTTTCTTAAATGGCCTCTTATTCAGGTTCGGAGTTATACATTTTGAGGTCCAGGGAGTTCTGGCTTAATCTCTGCTTATGCAGCATCTTTTTATGCTTGTTGAAGAAAATGTTTGCGCAAATACTGTGTATTTTCAATTATTTTGTTAAGTCTTCACTCCTAGAAACAAATCAGACAGGTAAAGGGCAGTGCAAATTCAAATGCTGTTACTTAAAATCTAACTAGCAGCTGGGCAGAACTAATTCTGAGGTTTGTTTTTTTGTTTGGTTGGTTTTGTATTTTTTTTTTAGTTGTTGCTATTACAGACAGATTTCTAAACAATCCCCTATCAGTTGAGGATCTTAAAGCTTTATAGTCTCATACATGCTATAAACTAGGCAGGCTTTTTCATGAATGATACAAAATCAAAGAAAGAGAGCAATATCATCACTAACATCTTAATTATATAAAACAAAAGAAAAAGTGCAGTAGCCATCATGTAGCCATCAGCTTTTGTGGTTGTTATTTACAGGGGTTTTTTTTTAACCTTTATAACCAAGATCTATATTAGGTAGACAGAAATAAGGATTACTACTTCAGTTTCTTTTATATGTAGGATTTATTGTGTGTGTGTGAAAGCGTTTCTTTACATACTTGTTTGGACCTCTTTTTAAAAGGCTTGCCTACTGTGCTGTTTATACAACAGTATCATTAAAGCAGTAATCAAGAAAGGGCTTAACTCTGGAATTAATATTTAATTGCTTCTTTAGAACATTGCTCATGTATCATTTGTTGTGTTTCTTTGACGGTGACAGAATGACTCCTGTGTTTTCTGTTGGGGAATCATGATAATGAACCTGTAGTTACAGGTTTCTTCATGGTATTCTTGCTGGGGGGAGAGGGATTTTGCAGTTGTAAGACAGCAAAAGTTTTGCTGGTGGGGCTCATTTCATATAATCATAGAATGGTTTGGATTGGAAGTGACCTTAAAGATCATCTGGTTCCAAACCCCCCTGTGGTGAGCAGCAGGGACATCTTTAACTAGGTCAGGCTGCTCAGAGCCACATCCAGCCTGACCTCGAACACCTTCAGTGAGGGAGCAACCACAACTTCCCTGGACAGCCTGTTCTAGCTCCCTGGGAAACCTGCTCCAGCTCCCTGGGAAACCTGTTCCAGCTCCTGTTTCATCTCCCTTGCTTTCATGCTACTTCTGTGTTTTGTACCAGCAAGTATAAAGTCTCACTTTAATTACAAACACTTCATCATTACTTCTGAGACCGTGTTCAGATTTGTGCTATTTATTTCATGTAGCTTGTGTGTAGCAATTAGCTTTTTAGTGCTTGGGTATTTAGGAACTGGAAAGATATGGGATATTCTTAGAAAGTAAAAATAAAGATATGTTCTTATAATTTACCCCTGCCACATGCACACTTCCATAATTTTTTACTGTTAATATTGAGAAATTTGTTTCAACCAAGTAAGGATAACATTGTCTAAATATATACTGTAGGGAAGATGCATTCTGTGTCACAACATGAAGGCCTATCTGCATCCTGGCAACATTTTGGAATAAAGCTTCTAAGCAGAGGACAGGTGAAGCTGTGGCAGGCTGTCCGGTTGAGGGATTAGGACTGCAGGTTTTGTTGTGGAGAACTTGTGTGCCTTGCTGTCTGGGGAAAGTGTATAATCTCTTCTGCACTGGGAAGTGAGGCTAAGTTATATCGACACCAAGTGCGTCCATTCTGTGCATTTCAAATGGCAGTTTTGCATTGGTCATTCAGAGTTTTACACGATATGATGGAAAAATTACAGAGTTTTAGGGAATTCATTTTTCATGAAGAAAAGTTTTAGTAGACAGATCTTAATATAAGCAGTACTAATAAGATGAGAGGCATAACTTGCCCCTTGGGAAGCTCCTTCCAGTCAGTGCCGTGGGTGCAGAAAATTATAAGCCTGGGATTCACAGTCTGAGATGATTCTCCCACTGTCTGCAGAACCAGTATAGATTCTTGATTAGTTTAACACATGGATTTAGAAGGCTGTAGAGGGTTAGGATTTCTGAGCTGTGGAGGACTTTGCACTGCAAGTTTACTGTGGAGACTTTTGTATTTGAAAGATGTGTTCTTACCTGAATTTGTTGCCAGAAGTGCTATAGGTGGAAGGGAAACATATTCTCTTTTCCTACCTTGATTAGGTATGATTTAGAAGTGATGTTTAGACTAGAAGGGTGACTCCTGCTAGTAACATGATATTACATAACAAATGGCTCTTACCTACCTTTCAGTTGGAACAGGCATCCAGTTTGACTTCAACATAATAATAAAGGGATTTTGTTGTCAGACTTTGCCTGGCCTGAATAAGGAAGTAGCCTATCAAGAAGGAAATCTTTAATGTTTTTGTACCGCAAAGATTGTCCTGTCTTTTTTTTCAGGGGATAAAAGAAAAAAAAGCATGAACTGTAAAAAATTATTTGTCACTTCACTGGCATCTGATTTAGGTAAAGGTTTAAAGAAAGAGAATAAAATAGTCTTTCACTGGGGAAAGAAGAAAAGATTTATGTACTCACAGAGCAATGAATTCCATCCATACGATGGAGGTATTTTTATCTTGTTAGGATTAGACAATTTAACTTTAGACATAATTGGAATTTAAAATATAATTAAGCTTATAACAGTATTTTATCTTCTTTCTTTACAGGTTTGCTGGTCCTCTGATACATTTCAGAATGCCACTGGTAAAAAGGAACATAGACCCCAGGCATCTGTGCCACACAGCTCTGCCCCGAGGTATCAAGAATGAGTTGGAATGTGTCACAAATATCTCCTTGGCAAATATAATCAGACAGCTGAGTAGCCTAAGTAAGTACATTGTCCTAATGAGCTAATATATTTTATTATATAAATATACATTACATTTCTTTAATATACATATTATAGAAATACAACCACACTTTTTGTGGTTGAAGGAGGGAAACCTTGCAAATTCTCAGTAGAAAATTGTGACTAAGCCTTGAATGTACTCCCTTTTGTGGCTAGTGACTAGCATGGACTTCTGTGAAGGAAAGCTGGGGATTTTTCCAGCAGCATGTCTTAAAAATGTTCAGCCATGTATTTGTCTTACCTGTGGAACATGACAGAAAAAAATACTTGTTATTTAATGAAGTCAGTTATTGCTAACTTTAGTAATTCTTGAGTAGGGAATATGACATAATGAGGAATATATCACTGGTTAATTAATGCTCTCAACCTAAATCCTTGATCATGTTGTGGTCATTCAGGAGAAAAAAAGTAGCTGCCTTTTAAAATAATAAACACAGATATGTAATTATTACATAGTATTTCAAACGCCTAAAGATTTTTCTTCCTTCTCCCTTCTACTAACAATTTTTCCTTTGGTGCTTTTGGGAGGAGTGAATACTTCTCAAGCTCTAGAACTCTGAAGAAGTTTTTCTGAAAAGGCTGATTTCTGGGTTGTTTTTTCTTTAAATTACAGCAACTTTGAAAAATTGTCAGATGAACCAGCATGATAGCATTTTGAATTTCCAGTACTACAGGTGCTTTTTAAACACTAGGATGTTATTCAGACTACCAATACATTAAATATTAAAATGTGCATGTATATACATCTACAATGTGAAAAGCCTTTCAGTTCTGTTAATATCTTAGGGTCATAGGTGATGTAGCCTAATTTGTTAATTAGATTGATTTAGCCATTGGTTTGATGGTTTGCTGTATGGTGACTCTGTTTTGGCAGCCTTTCAAAGCTGTTGGGGTGCTATTCAGTTGAAGACTCTAATTGAGAGCACTGAATTATGCAGTTGAGACAGGAATGCTTACAGCACATAACTATGAACATTATTAGTATAGCTGCTGCAACAGCAAGGAAAATAACTATTCAAACTCTTTACAGTGAACCAGACAGTGAACCAGGAACATATCAGATTAGGATGCATTATAGGATCATTGTCTGTGGTCTTGCTTCATTGTGCCAAAAGCCCTTGGATTATATACTCCATCTACGGGAATTTCCTTTCATAGGTGGCGTACCAAATTTACGTTTGATATTTTCATTTGGAAGTTTCGTTTGACCTTATAAACAAAAAATCCTACAGCAAACCACCTGGATTTTCAGTTTTAAAGAACACCAACTTCTAACTCAACATTGTGGTCCCAGTACTTATTTTCTTGGTATAAAGATCTTGTGCCTGACTTTGTGTGTACAACTGGTGGTGGTAAAAAACGCATCTCTGGAAACATCCAAGGTTAGTTGGATGGGGCTCACTGCAAGGGGGTTGGACTAGATGACCTTTAAAGGCACCTTCCAACCCAAAATATTCTATGATTCTGTAACTGCTCAGGAGGAGGTCAGGATGAAGCAATAGTAGAATAGAAAGAGTTCAATTAAGGGAGAAAACATGTACTGAAGAATGTCCATTGTATGCCCCCACATTTGTTAGGTGGCTTGCCTAATATATAGCACAGCTAGAGAGGTGCTTTCAAAGGAGTGTAACCGTAATCATGTGAACTCCTTCTCTGTAAAAGGAATGTGGTTCTAAGTGTGCATACATAGGGATGAGGCCTAAATTAGCTTGTTTCACTTGAGAGGATTTTCTGTCATGAACTTATGACTCATCAGTGCTCAAAAAGGCACACAATGTTGGGAATGACAAGGAAGGTAAAAGAGGAGGGAAAATGCACTAGTTTGCTCTCCAACAGCAAGCCCAAAATAGGTAATTCAGATTTTTGTACAAGTTAAACACTGATGAGCAGGACCCGTTACTTCAGTCTTTTGTTTTTCCCTCCAAATAGCATCATGGTATTTGTAGGTTTTCTGTGGGCAGTATTTGTGCCAACTGAAGTAACTTTTTGGTTTGTATTGTGTATGTTTTCAACAAAACCCCCTTTTATTTTCCTACAAATAAATATTTTGCAAAATAAACCTTATTTCTCAGCAACATTAAGGATTGCTCTATAAAAATAGAGGTCATGCTACAACATTGAGTACTCACAGAAGTATTTTGTTCAGAATTCTTTTAGCTTTCCTGCCTGCTTGTGCTAGTAGCAGTACAAATTCAAAAGATTTGGGAGTTCTGGCATAGGCATTTTGTGCTCAGACCCAAATAATGAATCTTCACTTGGTGTGTCACTGTTACCAGTGTACAGTGAGGGCAGCTGACAGGCAGATAAATTTTAGTAGTTGCCTGTGAGTCATAGCCAGCAGGCATGGTTTTGCAGCCGTCCCCTGGCAACCAGCTTCTCCGCAGTCTTTCCCTTTTTGTTTTCTGTGCATGATGTGTAGGTTTGAGAATCAGCCTTTAGGTTGTAGACCAAAGGAGGCTTCACTCTGAAAGCGGAAACTGAGTGTTCTGGTAGGGTTCCATTTGCTTTAAACCAAGCTGCTTTTGCTTTTGGTGGTAAAGTTATGCAATTTTATGAAAATCACAATTAGCACGTAGTCATTTCTGCTTCAGTTACCTGCCCTCAAATAGAGGATTGGTCTCCTGCCATTATGACTCATGAGCAGCCATTCTTAACCTTGCTTCTGATACAATATGGATGAAGAGCACAGTGGTAGAATTAGAGCCTCTGGTACTTTAAACAGTACCAAAATTATTATTTAGAAAAATTGTGTAGAGTTTTATCATGTATGTCATTAGATTAGATTAGCTAATAACTTGACTGGGTTAGTCAAGCAGCTGGATCTAAGTGGAACTGCTCTGAGCAGTGCTGGACTAGGTGACTCCTAGAGGACCTTTCAACCTGAACTGGACTGTGCTTCTGTGATCTTTGGGGTGGATTGAGAACTGGCTGAATGACAGAGGTCGGAAGGTTGTGGTCAGTCACACAGAGTCCAGCTGGAGGCCTGTAGCTGGCAGTGTTCCCCAGGGGCCAGTACTGGGTCCAGTCTTGTTCAGTGTATTCATCAGTGACCTGGGTGAAGGGACAGAGTGTACCCTCAGCAGGCTTGCTGAACATAAGGAAGAACTTTACTTTGAGGCTGACAGAACTCTGGAACAGGCTACCCAGAGAGGTTGTGGAGTCTCCTTCCCTGGAGACAGTCAAAGCAAACCTGGACGTGGTCTTGTGAAACCTGCTTTTCGTGTACCTACTTTAGCAGGGTGGCTGGACTAGACAATCCCCAGAGGTCCCTTCCAACCCCTACCATTCTGTGATTCTGTGACCTTGGATACTATGTGGAAGTAGAACACACATGCAGAAACAATACCTATTAAAAAATAGGAATACTTTCTTCCTGTGTTTTAATATGAAATGAAAAGAGCTTTTCCTCACTATGTCAGCAATACCTGCTGTGTATCTCCATGCAAGTTCTCAGTCCTTTTATGGTTTATTTGATGTGTTGCTTTTAATTGTTAGCTTGAGAAATTTTTTTGACCTTTGAAAGAAGTAGTGATGAAAGGACAAAATACTTACTTCTGCTTTGAGTGATAGTCCTTGCCTTTCTCCCTGGAGCATGAAAACGCATCAGCCTGTCTTGATACAACATACAAAATTGCAAGTGAGTAATTTATTTTTTTTTCCTTGCATCTATTCCCAGTCTTAACTTCATGAAAGGATCTGTCTTCTGACAGTTTTTCTTAGCACTGTGGCAACAGAAACTCTCTGGACAACAGCAACAGCTGTTTTAGTTTTCTTGCCATTCTTCCCTGTATTTCTTGCTTTCTGACTGTATCTGCTTTGGAAAAGTGCCTACGTATTTTTTTTCAGCAGTATTGCAGATACAATTGGTACTCCAGTACTGCCTGAGCTGGCGTATGTTGGGGTTTGTCAGGCCATAACATTCTAGCATATGTGAAACACAACTGATAGCACCAGGCAGCTGTGCCATTGTTAGAAGATGGATAAATAGTTCTATTGTGTGCACATAACCTCCTCATTTTGTTCACAGCTATTGACCAATCTTGTTTTTCCTTTTTTTCATCTGTTCCCTGCACACAGATCCATAGTACCACATAAGAAGCCTAACTGACAGGGTTTGTTCTTGGCCCTGGTGTCTGACTCCTCCATCTGGGAAGGAGAACATTTCTCCTTTTGACTGTGTTCCTTTAATGAATATTTATATTGTAGGCATTCATACCAGAACTTATATTTAATCATAGCAAGATGTCATTTCCCTTTTCTTCATTCTACATCTGTATAAAGAGAAAGAATGCTGCATAACTGTTCGCTAAGCTGGAGTGCCTTTTATATTAGTGAAAACAGTTTTCAGTTAACATTGAACCTGCAGTAGCCTTTCCCCTCTTCCTGTCTCTTCTTTGTACTGTTCCCTGTTTTTACCAAGTTGTTCTAGTTAGTTATGTCTTTTTCTCACCTGTTATTTGTTAGTTTCCAGGAGTGAAACCCTGACTTTTGAGCATATTATTTCTTCTGGTTTTTTTGCCCTCTTAAGACAGTTGTAACTTTTTTTTTTCCCTCACCATGCCATCCCCTAGAGGGTTTTAAACATTGCTTATCTTGTGAGAGAAATTTTCTCACCTCGGGAAAACCTTCATTTTGCCATGGCTTAAGGCGTTAACACTCAATAAGTGGGAAATGTGTCTCCAGAAATACTTAGCAGCAAGGTGTCTGGGCAGTACCTAATCTTTAGAACCAGTCCTTTTCAGCTCAAAGACAAGCCTCTCTCTCTTCATCCTGTCTGGACAACATCTGAAGCACATCATGAGGCCTCCATGTTACGTGTTTGGAGTTTGGTCTCTGTAGATCTGCAGATAGAGCTTTAGTCAGTATTCCAGAACCAGCAGAATCCCTGTGTCATGTCCTGCCCTGGGAATCCTCCTTTTCACTGTGTTCACAAGCATATTCAGTATTGTCTTGTGAATTTTCTTCATTAGTCACCCCTT